TCACAAAATACATATTTTAAGCTTGATTAAGCTCACTTTGAAGACCACTTTTTACTTTTTAAAAAATTGATTTATGGTCCCATTAAAAATTACCCCACAACTTGATTTCCTAGTCATTTTCTATATCTCCTTTCAGGAAGAGCTGAATAGTTTCTCTTTGTTTCTTCTCAAAAACAGTTTCCTTGATTTCACATATTCTTTTTGTAAATCCAAAATAAGAAAGCTTTCCAAGTCACTCTTCTGATTTTTTACTTGTATAATTATTAAGGCACCATCTGGTTTTATCTGAAAATCCATTTTGGCATCTTTTTCCATAGCACTGTTATACTTGGCATTTTAAAGTCTGTCTTCAGATCCACAGCATCTCTTTTCATGTTATTTTTGTAATTTAAACTCCAATTTGAATCCACATTGAAATCAATCCCAGCCTCTGTTTTATCCAACAAAATCTGTTATTCTTCCATGTCCTCTGTCACAATATCAGGCAATCTTGTAAGTAATTTCTGAGTACATTGTTCTTCTTTTATAGTCAATAATATAGTGTTGCATTGTATTAATTGGCCTTTTCTCCTTTAATTATAATTTAAGTATAATTGTTCCTTCCTCTAGGAGAGCCTTCAAGTCCGCTCTTATCATCTGTTTATTTTTCCTATCAACAAAACTTTCCCACGGGATTATTTCTTACAATTAAATTTAGAAACTTCATAAATTATTATATAAATTTTTAAACAGTCTACAAGAAAATATTCTTTCAAATTCATCTTGCCTCTTGACTTTTCAAAATCAACATTTTAGTTCCCCTTTTGTTGTTTCTTAAAAAATCAAGCTTTTCTTTTTAATGCTTAAAGTTACATGGTGCTTCTTTCATCCATAGATAAAAAGAGATTTTCCCAGTAACATAATGAAACCTCCCTTTGGAATGTTCTTAACTTCAATTAATAAGCAGCTTTGTAAAATAGTTAGGAGAAAAGGTAGGTGAATTCAGTGTCTTTTTAAAAGGTGCTGAACTTAGTGTAGGCACAATGATTCCCTCACTCCACCCCCACCCCCCCCACCTCAACAATTGGAGCTCTCAAACTTACTGGTAATTTGCTGATCCTTGACTGAATAAATAAATACTAGAACTTCTGGAAATTGTTATTGTACTATCTGCTTGCAAGAGATTATGTATGGAGAAAATTTATGGATGATCCATGTTATCTCCCTAATCCGGAGATGAGTACCAAGAAACTGATCCACTCACTAGCTATTAATTTCACCAGTTATTGGCTCCATGAAAGGCAGGGCTGTGTTCAGTTCGCCATTGGTCTCACTGGAAGTCCTTTCACCTTACATACTTGATAGGGCATTCTATCTTATTTTTTGTAACCTAGAGGTTGTTATTTTAACAATTAGAATTGTTTGTATCTTCTGGGGATGAGATTTGTTGGATCAGGATTCATTTGAAAACTGCTCTGCCATCTTTTTGTTGTTGAGTGCTAATGGATTACATTCTGGTTCAAGTTCATCCTTTTGTACAGGTCTGTTGTTACTTGAAAATATTAGGCAATATTTCACAAATTTACTTTTCCTTGATGTAGAATCATTAAGTCAGCCATGCATAAGTACTGTTTAGCTCTGCCTATTAATAAAGTGTGAGGAAGGAATGGGTAGAATTTTAGTGAAAGCCATGTTTAATTATAAGTTGTGGGCAACTTTTCTAAAAGATACATTTTTAAGAGTAAATATTCTTTACTTTGCCCTATTAGGTGCTTATATGAAACAAATTGTTGCATTGCCATCTAGTCCTGGAAAGCAGCTATCTATCCATTTATAGTACAATATGCAGCCTGTTTTAGAACCTTCTTCAACCTGGTGCGTCAGTGTTGGATTACATTTCCAATCATTCCAGGCTGAGTGAAGGTGTTTCATTGTACATTTGAATTGTTTTATTATTTTGTCTGTCTTTAACCTATTGTAAGCTGTCCCAGCATAATCTGGTTCTTTTACGCAGCATACACATTTTAAAAATTAGGAATTTTAAAATTTTAGAATAAGAAAAACAATTCCTAGAAAATTTTTATGGTTGTTACATAACCGTTTGTGAAAGGCATTTAGAAATTGCTGTCTTATTAACAGTAGTCTTTTAAAAAAGAGCTGATCCATGGACTTCTAGGAAAGCTTAAACGATGTTGAAATCTTTTCTCAATAAACTGTGGACCAATTTTTTTTTTCCAGCCCAACAGAATGTAGATAGAAATTATGTTAAAGCTTGGTAGTTTTATCTCTTAGTAGGATAACGCTAGGAGAGAACATAATGGAACAAATTTGATAAGGCAGGAGAAAGAGATTGAAAATGGACCAGATCAATGTGGGGGCTGTGGAAGAAAACACTGCTTTCCCCATCCATATCCATCCTTATATGAGAGGCGTTCTGGGCTGCTGCTTAAAATGTTTGCAGCTGCTCCTTTCTAAGCCCTCCCACCTGCAAGACATGTGACTCAGAGCAGACCATATGGAGCCTTCCCTCTCCTTCCCAGTGCACACTATTATATAAACGCACTGAGATGCAACACAAAGGAAAAGAAGAAACACTACCACAGGTGCAACACGTTTTCCTCTCACACAGAAGAAACTACAGATGCTTTATTTTGGCATTGCAGATAAAGGGATTGAAAGCATTCTAGAAGACATGCTTTGTGTGCTTACCCTGTTTTCTTTATTTTTTCCAACCAATTGAATTTTGGGAAGAAATTATCCAAAAGACAATAGAATGCTGTCTAACTGCCTACATATCCTGCCATTATCTCCACTGTAAACTCCCCTTTTCAATCACATGATTCAGAATAAAGCAGGCACCATCTGTTCCCATGATTCCCAAGGTACACTTAATGTAAAAACCCACAAAGATGCAACAGGAAGGCAGAGAAGGAACATATACACGTACACAGTAACTTATATGTACTATCTTCACATATAAATAAGCAGGCAATGGCAACATGTATGCACATCCTGATTAGTCCCCTAAGATAAAATAGCATGCTCAGACTTCTCTGTTACTTCATTACTTGGAATGAAAACTTCTACTTCTAATGATAGAACTGATAGATGCTTTCTGATCAATCAAGTATAACTGATGATAAGGTTGGAAACATTTCTAGAAGCCATGTTCTGCATACTTGAGTTTTCTTTTTTTTAATTTTGAGAAATTGGATATTGCTTTAGGAATGCCCATTTTCCATCTTTTAAGGAAATATTAGCATATGCACTGAAAAAGAAATAAAGCATTATTGTTTTGCATAGCACGAGCTTGCTTTAGACAAATATCGCTCTCCACGGGAGATGAGTAATTCAAAAATGTGAAAAGTAAATAAAATCTGAGCAGCATTTCAATAGTATAGTGTTCCATTGTATTAATGGGCATAAGCTTGCAAGATAACTTATTTCATAATAAGCTATCTTGCAAGCTTAGTTAAATTAATAATATAAATACATAATTATTTCTGAATTGCATTGTATAAAATTGTTGAGCATTGTTCACTGAAATGCAAATGACAAAGCAGGAAAGCAAGAGCTAAACTGTGAAGTCTTCACAGTTCTTCCTATTATATGTATTCTGCTAAAAGAATTGTGAACTAGTTAATTGAATAATTATTCTATATAAAAAATTCTCTCTGCCTTTATAGAATAATCCTGGTTTTGAGACCTGATTTTTCATTGACTTCCAGTTCCTAATCAAAGTCCTAGCCCTTAAAATCCAGTACAGCACTTACCTCAGGAATTTTCCTGTAAAAAATTGACTCCATTCATTTGATCCAATTATCTTGAGAGTTTCCTGCTTATAAACCTTGTAATCAATGGGAGTTAGTCACGGTAGTAGGCCTTGTCCATGGTAGCCTCTGTACTATTAAACAAGCTTACCTACTCACTTTCTGGAAGTTTGTAACTATTGTGATGATATTGTACAGCAATGCTTTCTCAACATCAAAAACTTTCCCACCCAGCATGCCATCTGGGAGTTGAAGTCTGAAGTTGCTGAGATTGAGAAAATACTGTTGTAGAATGACTGCCAGTGAAAAAATTACTGTTGCAGTTTTGCAAATGAGGTGTTGCCTTAACATTTTAGAGAGAGGAGCTGTGTTTGCACTGCAGTTAGTTTATCCACTTATCCTATTTGAATACTCAAGGTGTTATCTCTATTAGGATACTTATAGACATTTTTATGCCTACTAAAGCATGGTGTTAGTGAAAAAGCCTTTAAACAAAAGATCTTAAGTTTTTTTCCTGCTCTAAATTATTCATTTTGTTTCAATTTGTTACCATCTCCTGTTCCGAAACACACACAAATAGGGTCCTTGATCAGTGTTGCTTATTGACTGCAAAATCAAATTTTATCCTTTGAACAATGCCCAGAAAAGCAAGACAGGAGATTAAAGAAAGTATAGTTTATGTAACCAATATCCTTTAAAGATAACCATGTTTTCAGCTAAACAGGTGAAAGTGCTTCAACATTTGCTTTATTCTGTTATTGAGACTTGGAGTTTAGAAGTAAAATAAGATTTTTTTCAGATTTTATTCAAGGGAGAAAAAAATGACCAGAATTAAGATATGATTAAATTAATAGGCAAATTATGACTTCAGAACTGTGAAAATGCTTTTCCCGTAAAAGGATGTTTTTAGAAGCAAGTATAAAAAGTTAGCATACTTTAAAATATATTATGATTAAAGCTGCTGTATTGCTCAGCATGGGATCATGGAGATACTGACACAATAGCATAAATCATCATTGAATCTGGATGTATTTACTTCCATTAACAATTTGCTGCAAATAATTGGCAGCTTTTCCTCTTGTGGTGGTGTAGTTTATATGGGTGAGTGGTACTGATTTAAAATTTGAATCTGTGAAGCTAGGTAAAGTACTATGGACCACAGAAGTTAGGAGTTTTAGAAGAAGTATCTGCACACCAGACTCACAAGCTTTGGGTCATTTTATGTCATATACATTCTTTGTTCTCTTTTAGGTTGCCCTAGATTGGAACCATGTATTGGCATTTTCCTCTCCTCTTTGCTGCCTTGACGTCAACCTATGTGTGCTTTCCTCAAAACCATTTGTCACTGGAGGAATTGGGATCAGACATTGGAATCCAAGTTTTTAATCAGCTGGTCAAAACCAGAGCTGGTGATAATGTTGTGGTTTCTCCGCATGGAATTGCATCAGTGCTTGGGATGCTTCAGCTAGGAGCAGACGGCAAGACAAAGAAGCAGCTGACTACAGTGATGAGATACAGTGTAAACGGTCAGTGGTTTTGATCTATTTCCAGATATGGGCTTTTTGTATTGATTTCTGAAATAAATTCATCTGTGCCATAACTTTTCCATAAGCACGCAAAGAAATCTGTAGGAAAACAATGGTTACTGTTGCTCAGTACATTAAACAGTTATCATGTCCTATTGCATACTAAGTAGATGACAGTGAAGCATTATCTCTCACACCAGAAGGCATTCTTGGCTCCAGTGTTTGGCACAAATGCTGAGCACAGTAAATCTAACAAGAACTGATTTCTTGGTTCCAGACTAAGCAGCATTGAATTTCATTGCCAAAAATGTGCCGAAAGCACAAAATGCCACCTGCCTCTTGCTCCTGGTGCAGGATGCATACATATCCATGTGACCGTTTATATGATATTTATAAAATATTATTGTACTTCCTGGCAATTTAATAGTATAATCTGCCAGTTGTGGGAGGAGAGTAGTTGCCATATCATTGCCCTTGCCATATCAAACTTTACAGAGTTCTACCAGTACTTTTCTGCTCAGCTGAATGCTTTTTTTCAGCTCACATCCTTGGTGTTTTTCCCATCCAGAAACTTTCCCTTTAATGTTTTGTATTGAAGCTTAATAAGAAAACCACCATCTTGTCACAGATTGCTTCAATGCCAAATAACCTAATAACCAAGTAGTGATCTTTTTGTTTACTATGGGATGCACTTTTCAAACTAGAGGATTTTATTACCTATGAAATATGTGAGCAGAGAAATAGAACCATGGTTTAAGTACTCTGACATATATACTGTGATTTTCCCTCCATCTGTCCTGCAGATTCGATCTGTTTAGTGTAATTAACTGTGTGGGAGACAGGCTTCCATCCTTAGCTTTAGTTATTGTATTTGTGTCAGATTTTTGCTAAGTATGTTCCAGGATGTATAATCCTTAGTTAGCCTAGAAATTTCCTAAAACAGTCTTCCTGAAACAATAAATCTTCAGATGTTTTAGGACTACCACTTCTAGATCTTCCATTTATAGCACAGCCATTGGCCCTAAGAATTCTAGATTGTATAGTATCAATATAGTAGGAGGCATACATTGGATAAGACTTTTAAAAACAAATTTAGAGATAGATTCCATTGAAACAGTTACAGCTGCTTTTGTTTGTGACTTAAGGCTTTCTACTGAAGAGAGTGCTAGTATCAAGTCATAATAAATAAGACTATAGGATGCAACAAGAACCTTTGTTTTTGTTTTAACTGATCTCTTTGACTCTAGAAAATCACAGGTGAACAGCAGCAGATTGGCATCTACTGATGATGAGCTGTAATAGATCACAAAGAATTCCTGCTTCCTAGATTTGTTTTTAGCACTGTCAAAACTCAGAAAGTTCTTCCATAGATTCTTAATTGGGAAGAAAGCTACCATTATCAGGTTTATAAGAGTCAACTTATAGGGGAAGATGGGCAACATAAAAGTGAATTAATTAATTAATTAATTAAATATTATTATTTATATTTACTAAAAAAATTAATGTTTGAACATTTGCGTAGATGTTCTGTCATTACTGATCCCTTCTTGATCCACTGTTTGAGGATTCTAGACTGTGAGTTCTAGTTCTACCTTAGGCATGAAAGCCAGCTGGGTGACTTTGGGCCAATCATCTCCTTTCAACTCAAACCTACCTCACAGGCTCATTGTGTGGGGAAATAGAAGGAAAAAAGATTATTATGTATGTTCACCGCCTTGAGTTATTTATAAAGTAATAAACGCGGGATAAAAGAAAAATCTAAATAAATAAAATTGTAGTAAAAAAATAAAGTTAGATTGTGTGCTTACCTTTTTCTTAATTGACTTCTCTAACCCAAATAATTATTGTTTTATATATCTCCGTTGTTAATAACTAGTTCATTTATGAGGTTAAAACAAAACAAAACAATCAGTACAATAAAACAGATCAGGAGCAAAATCTCCTGAAGAGAAGTAAAGAGGAGTAAAAACTTGAGTGATATGACTGTGCCACATAATCTTCTAATGATGGTGAGCAAACAATTTATAAATGAGAAGGCCCTTTAGCCACTGAATGATTCCAATTGTTTAAAGTGTCTGTGTATATCTGTGTCTATATACTCTCTTCATTTGTTCTTCAATCAGGAGCTGGTAAAGTATTGAAGAAGATAAACAAAGCTATCGTCTCAAGGAGGAATAAGGATATTGTTAAAATTGCAAATATAGTTTTTGCGAACAGTGGGCTGAAAATGGAAGCGCCTTTTGTTTCTAGAAACAGTGAGGTGTTTCAGTGCCCTGTCAAAAATATAAATTTCAAGGATCCGAATGCTGCTTCTGACACCATGAACCAGTGGGTCAAAAATAAGACTGAGGGTATGTGACAATTTTCTTTTTCTCACTCTCCTTCTCTACTTCAACTTGTTGTTTCTTTTCCCCAATGGCTAAAATTTTAGTTTCAACCATTGTGTAGTGGCATAAGAATATAGCTCACCATGTGA